GGGGGGGGGATTAATATCCGTCCTTGAGTGAAAGTTACACAAGTGACAAGTGACAAGGTGTTTGGGGGTGGTGGGGTTGATTGTTATGAGGGTATGGTAATTATATAGCTGAAGTATCTTTACACCACGTTAATGAAATTTGTTGCTGAAAATTACATTTTGTTTGGTAGTCATATTTTGCGTGACGACAACAGTGGTGATGGATGGGGTTTGTTTTTGTACTTGTTACGATGGTAATTAATAATGATAACAATAATCAAGATAACTTGTAAAGTTGTTTCTGGCATGGTTGGACTGGTTACTATAGTGTGATGACGATGATGATGATGTTGATGATGATGATGATGATGATGATGATGATGATGATGATGATGATGATGATGATTATGATGATGATGATGATGATGACGATGGTTGTTGAATGTATATAAAATATTTTAGGAAATTCTAACAGTCTTAACTCTTTTTTTCTTCACTGCTGTCTACAATGATGATAATGATGATGATGATGGTGATGATGATATCATCATAATCATCACTGCTTTTGTAAATCGTCAACACTGATGTCTCCTATTTTTGCTGATGTTGCATCATTGTTTTTGGACAAGCCTGATTACAACTTCGCAAGTGACAAATCGCTTAGACGTGACAGGAGGTTTATCAGTTCAAAAATCTAATCATCGGGGTTTGAAGCGAAATGGGCGATGAAATACAACTCTATTCGCTCGCCAAACACTGAAATATTTGTATGAGAGATGCCGCCAGAGAGCTGAGAAATGAATGGAAAAAAGGCACATTAGTGTTCAGCAGGGAAGCCAACACTTCGTGCGGAGAATAAAACGATTGACATTCAACCGTTTGAGCGATTGTGGGCAATGTGTGAATGCGAGTGGATCGGGCGCATCGTGCCACAGAACTGGACATGTGTAGAAGGTGCAATAATAATTTGGAAGCAGCTACATTCGCCTTAGCTTAGAGGGTCCGCTAACTCGTGTTGTTTTTATATTGCTGCTGTCAGTCATGTTGAGACAATGAGTTGTTGGAGAACGCCACTGGCACGTCATACTTTTTAACCTACCCTCTTTTGTTTCTGTCTGTCTGTCCCCTGCTTTTTGAATGACCTTTTATTGTATCAACTTGCTGCTCTATACTCAACAAACCAACGTCTCGGTGTTGTATTATGGTGTGGTTCTGTCTGGTGAACATTCATTGAGACACATCTTGCCCATAGGCTGTCTGCACTTAAAGTAAAGGCTCATGTGTTAGTTATAGCAGAAAATCTTTTCAGATGGAGAACAATACGTGGTTTCGTACCTCAAGAATAGTAACTCGTAATATCGTTCCCTGTTTTTTCTGCTTTTGTCATGTTTAACATTTTGTGTAGTGAAAGTGCAACACGATTTCAAACCTTTAAAGTTCAGAACTGATATCAGAGCTGCAGGGCAACAGATTTCGTAGATTGACAGTAACACCAGAGAGGTCTCGCCTTTCAAGTAACGTTTCTGTGTTTACAAGTGCGTTAAACCCATACACTACAACCACAGAGCAGCATCACTCTTAAACCGTGAACGTTTGTATTTCCTGTCTTTTACTTCCATAAAAATCATAATAATAATAATAATGGATTGCATTTATATAGCGCATATCCACTTGTGCAATGCGCTTAACATGAAACATATTATGGAATTACAAATCAATTTTATAGGCACATAGT